CTCCCACGGGTGAAATGCTCTCCCCAGCTCCAGCGTGTTTCTCCTCCGAGCAGCCCCGCGGCTGGAATCAGCAGCAGGAGACTCGGCCGGGCGCCAGGGACACCCGCGGTGCCACCGAGAGCTGTCCCCTCGTGCCCCCTCCCGCTGCCGGCTCCGAGCCCTCGGGGACAGGCGTGAGGGTCCAGCCGGAGGCTGAGGAGCAGGAAATGGGAAATGCCGCGTCAGGCGCGGTCACGGGGGTGCTGCTGCTGTTTGCAAGGATAAATCCCAGCTCCGGCAGCACCGACCCACCTCCAGATGTGCCAGATGTCGGGAGGTGCGAGATAAAGGAGTAAACAAGGGGGTAGGGAGAGAGGGATTTGTTTTGTCTCCATGCAAACCGGCCCTGCAGGAGGATGGGCACCAAAAATTCTCAAAAATTCTCCCAAATCCTCCTCGGATGTTCCTGGCAGGTTTCTGACCCTCCCCCAAACCCCTGCCCACCTCTGTCCAAGAATTTGGCACCACCGTGGCTCATGCCCCAGGCTGACCACGAGGCCAGCAGCGGTGTGGGGACACATTCTGGGCCTGGGGACCAAAGTGACCACAGGGTCAGGGGTGTGGGGACATGCTCTGGGCCTGGGGACCAAACTGACCACAGAGTCAGGGGTGTGGGGACATGCCCTGGGCCTGGGGACCAGGCTGACCACAGGGTCAGGGGTGTGGGGACATGCTGGACATGCTCTGGGCCTGGGGACCAAACTGACCACAGGGTCAGGGGTGTGGGGACATGCTGGACATGCTCTGGGCCTGGGGACCCCAGCCAATGCCACAGCCGTTAATGTCACTGTCACTGTCACCTGGGCAGGGGTCACCGAGGAGCATAAATCACCCCAGTGCGAACCCTTGGAAACCTCTCCCAGCCCTGCTGCTGCTCCCAAGGGAAAATCCCGCCTGGCCAGCGCTCTGTCACTCAGGAAAGGCCGGGACACGCGAGGCCACGCCGTGCCGGGCAGCAGGAGCGGGTGACAATGACAGTGTCCCCTCCTGGGCCAACCCGGGCTCCCCGGGGCTGAGCCACCGCTCCGCCCGCAGCCAGCCTGATGCAAGCCCGGTGTCGCTTCCAGCGGCTCCTCTGCCGCGGCCCGGGGCTCATCCCACACCGGGAGCCACCGCCAGGCCGGGGACAGCGGGCAGAGCCGGGCTCATCCATCGCGGACACCCCCAGCCCTCCACCAGGCTGCTGCAGGGCCAGGAGGAGCCGTGGGGACGTGGGGGGCTGGTGGCAGCGGCGCGGTGGCTTTTGTCACCCCCAGGTCCCAGCCCAGCCCGGCCAGCTCGGGGTGCCCCCGGCCAGCGCCACACTCACATTTCCCGGTGCCAGCGGGGCCGGGCAGGGCGGGCACTGCGAGGAACAGGGGTGGAAGCTGGGAGCGGCCCCACGCACGGCCCGTGGCACCCCAAAACCCAGAGCACAAAGCCCCAAACCTTCAGAGCTCTTCCCGGCTCGCAGCTGGAGCCCAAACCTCCCTCGGGAGCTCCGTGCGTGCTCACCCACCCTGCCCGGGGCTGTCCTGGCTCACCCGCCCCGCCCGGAGCCGCTGGCACCGAGCGTCCCGGGCCGCGGAGTGCCCCGGCCCCATCGCTCCCTGCCGGCACGGCTGCGGGGCGGTGTCGGGGTGTCCCCCCGCAGCCGGGCTCGCTCGGCTCCGCTCTCCCCGGCCCCTCGCCCGCACGGGATGCTGAGCAAAGCCCCGGCGCTCGCCCGGGAGCCGCCGCTCCGCGCCTGGCACAGCTGACGGTGCTCTGCCACCCCCGGGGCTGACCCTGCTGTGACAGGGACAGCGAGGAGGGAGGTGGCTCCCGGGGCTCCTTACCTTGCGCTGGCAGCGGCTCCGTCCCCTGGCAGGCGCTGAGGAGCCCGGCGAGCGCCAGGGCCCAGAGACCCCTCATGGTGCCCGTGGCACAGGCGCAGGGCCCGCACGGCCACCTGCAAGGGAGACACCCCGGGATGGGCACCTGGTGGCCACCAGCCCATGAGGTTGCCCACACCGGGAAAGCCACCAGCATGGAGTGGCACTGACCCTCCTGGCCATGGCTCAGTTTTGGGGGTCAATGTGGTCCCCGTCCACCCCAAGCCTCAGCATCCCTGCGTGTCCCTGCCAAATTTACTCCAAACATTTGGAAATGCAATGGCTGAGGTTCCCCAGAGCGGAACCGGGCACCTCCTGCGTGCACCCACCCAGGGCGGTCTCACCGCCTCCCGGTCCCGTGTGGATCCCGGGGTGTCCCGGCAGGTCACCCCGACCTGGCCCCCCTCCTGCTTCCTGCCACGAGGCAAGCCGGGGCCGGGACAGACGGACATGCTTGGCTCCAGGGGCTGCTGCCAGAGCGGGACGTGCGGCCCCGTTCTTCACCCCACGCTCCCCCCGGGACCCCCGGCAGCGGGGCCACCCCTGCCCTGCCCTGCCCTGCCCGCCTGCTCGGCGCTCTCTCACACCCCCGGCTCTTCCCAGGCTCCCAGCCCCGCTGTCCCCCGTGCCACAGCCCCTTCCTTCACCGCTTGTCCCCTGTGCTGCCACCCGGCCCCGCTGGCCTGGCACTGCCCGCGCCCCCCGCTTCTGCCACCCGCCTGCACCCCGCTCCGCGGCTCCCCCCGCCCGCTCCCCGCCTTCCCTGCGCCGCACCCTCCGCACCCGCGGGTCCCCGCGGCCCCGGGCCGTGATTAACTCGGGTGATTAACGGGGAACCCCTCCCCGGCCCGTCCCGCCGCGGGGCCGGGCTCCGCCGGGCTCCACCCGGCCCCGGTGTGGGGCTGCCCCGGGGCTCACCTGAGCGGGGCTCGGCGGGGACGGGGCTGTCGGGGGGGTGCGGGACACCGGGACTTCCTCCTGGGGAAACCGGGGACTCCTCTTGGGGACACCGGGATCTCCTCCTCGGGACACCGGGAACTCCTCCTGGGGACACCGGGAACTCCTCCTGGGGACACCGGGAACTCCTCTTGGGGACACCGGGAACTCCGCCGCGGGACACCGGGAACTCCTTCTCGGGACACCGGGAGCTGCCGCGCCGCCCCCGCCGCCTTCCCCGCCTCCCTCCGGGGGAGCCCGAGCCGCCCCCCAAGCGCTGCCCGCCCTCCGCACCACCCCCGCAACCCGGGGGGGCTCCGACCGCCGCCCGCCTTCGCATCCCGCCCTCCTCCTCCTCCTCCTCCTCCTCCTCCTCCTCCAGCCCCGGGCGCCTCTCCCAGCAGCGCCTCCGCTCCTTCCCCCCGGCCCACAAGAGGAGAACCCCAATGCCGGGATGGGTTGGGTGTGTCCCATTCCCTGTCTGCCACCCCTGTCCCCAAGCCACCCTCTTCCTCCCCACAGGGAGCTGAAGGCCACCCGGCGCTGGCATCGCTGGGCACAATGTCCCCACGGCACGAGGGTGTCCCTCAAGGATGCCCCCGCACTGGCACGGCCCCGGGAGCAGGTCCGAGGCACGGCGACAGCCAGCCCGCTGTGTGACACCGAGCTGGTGTCCCCTCCCTGCGCCCTGCGGTGGCTTGGGGACAGCCTGGCTCGGGGCGAGGTGCCCGGGCTTAGATCGCTGCCACCATCCCTGCCGCTGGCACCGCCCGTCCATTGCCCGGAGCTGTGCCAGGGATCCGCGCCCGTCCCGCCGTGCCAGCCTGCAACGCTGCCCCGGGGCCTGGCTGCCCAGCTCTGCCCCATCCTCCCGTTCCCGTGCGTGCCAGGCCGCCCTGACCCCCCAAAACCAGACAGGGAACGAGCCCAGCTGATGCAATTTTGGGTCTGCAGGGTGCCAAGCATCTGCTGGCATCGCTACGGCTGTGCCACCGTGCTGGGTGACACAGGACACCCGGGATGGCTCAGCTGGAGTGGCACAGGACATCTGGGATGGCTCAGCTGGAGTGGCACAGGACACCGGGGATGGCTCAGCTGCCACCGTGCTGGGGTGGCACAGGACATCTGGGATGGCTCAGCTCAGCTGGAGTGGCACAGGACACCGGGGATGGCTCAGCTGCCACCGTGCTGGGTGACACAGGACACCGGGGATGGCTCAGCTGGGGTGGCACAGGACACCCATGATGGCTCAACCGCCACCATGCTGAGGTGGCACAGGACACCCGGGTTGGCACAGGACACCCGGGATGGCTCAGCCGCGTTTTCTCCCAAATTGTGATGGATCTATTCGGGCTGCAGCTTTAGAGACGCGTGAGGGACGCATGGATCTCAATAAACTCGCTAATTAACAACTGCTGCTTATGCTGAGGCAGTAAATAAGCTGTCGTGGCTCTTGCCCGCCAGGCCCGGCGACGTGGTGACAATGCTCCCGCGAGGTGCCTGCTGAGGTAATTAAGGGTAATTAAAGCAAGCGGGAACGAAAGCACAGCGAAAACTCTCCTCGCTCTGGCGTTTGGGATGATTGTTCACCTCGAGCTCTTCTTTGTTTGGGGCCACCCAGCAGCGGTGAACCTGGGTTTGTGTGTCCTGGGAGTGGGGGGCACGGCCCCAAAAGTGTCCCCAAATCCCATCCCAACCCCAGAACAGAGCAGGGATGAGGGGCAGCCCCGTCCCAGCCTCTGCAGCTCCCGGGAGCCTCAATTCAGCTGCAAAACGCTGTGGCACCCTTCCCGCTGCCGTCATCGTGCTGCTGAGCTGCCCCCCAAAAACCCACCCGGGGAGGGGCTGGGAACCGCGGGCAGGGGGCTCCGAGCCAGCCCTGAGCCCCCCAAAAACCCACCCGGGGAGGGGCTGGGAACCGCGGGCAGGGGGCTCCGAGCCAGCCCTGAACCCCCCAAAAACCCACCCGGAGGGTGCTCCAGCTGCGGGCAGGGGGCTGGTGCCAACCTTGAGCCCCCCAAACCCCTCATTTTCCCTCACTTCCCAGGGTGCTCCCCTGGTTTCTTTGTCCCCAAATCCGTGTCACAAAGGCACCCCGACACCCCCAGGGATGTGGAACCCCCCGCTCCGCGCAGCTCCTGCTTCCCGGGGCTGCTCCAGAGCCCGGGCTCGGCATTTCCAGAGGGGAAAAAAAAGCAGCCGGATCCCAAAACTCCGCCTTGGAGCGGCGCCCGGCGGGGGGATGGAAAGCAGGATCCCGCAGCCCCCGCCGCCATCCCATCATGGAAAACTCAGAGGCACGCTGCGCTTCCAAGAAACTGCCGCGCCGCCTGCCAAAAAACACGAGCCGGAGCAGAGCCCGACAATTTTGGGGCTGGGAGAGAATTTTGACCTCCGAGCCCGAAGCGGCACCGAGGTTGTGTTACCCTGGGGGCTCCCCACTTCTCATCCCCCCACCCAAAAAGTTTCCCCAAATCCAGCGGATGAGGATTTGGGGTGACGCCGTCCGGACCGCGCTGGCTCAGAGGCAGCTGCCGGCCTGGACGAGGCGCAGGAGGGAATTCCTGCGGTGAGGATTTCAGCTGCTCAGCAGGAATTTTGCACCAATCCAGGCACAATTCCCCCCTCCCCTCCTAAAAATTCCAGCCAGGAAGGAACGATCCGGCAGGAATTCTTTCCAGCATCCTCGGGCCGTTTGTACCCGCGGTGCTAGAACAGCAATTTTTTGTCTCTTTTTGGTGAAGTTTTCTTGCCCGGAGGAGGAGTTCCCGTCCCCCCCGCGCAGCCTCAGAGCGGCTTCTCCATCATTTCCGCCCCCCAATCCGCACATTTTTGGCCCATTTTGGTGGGGGGGGGGACACAGCCTGGCTCCCATGGGAGCTGCGGATGGAAAAGGCTCCGGAGCTCTGGGATCTGCTCGGAGCCACCCTGCAGGACTGGGGGCTGTCCCCTGTCCCCTTAAAGCTGGGACACACCGCGAGGCTGCGCCTCTCGCCCGGGCTCCGTTCCCTCGCCCCATCTGGCGTCTCCACGAGTAATAAAAGCTGTTAATTGCCAACAGATGCCCCAGGAAACCCTGGCGCTGCCTCTCGCCGCTCTGCGTTTGGCTGGGAAGGAGAGGAGGGGAGCTGGAGCAGGTCCCGGATCCCCCAAAAGCAGGGGGCGGGGAGGCGGGGGGATCCCAGTGCGTGGCAGCTCCCAGAAAGCAGAGCTGGAGGATGCAGCTGCAGAATTTCCAGCAGAATTTCCAGCAGAATTAGGGAGCAGCGGGGGGACACCCCAGGGAAGGGGATGGTGACCCTGACCCGCACCCTCCATGGGGCTGGGAGCTACGCCCGAGCCCCACAGCAGCCCCTGGCCGTGCCAGGACCGGCCACCCACGGTCCTGAGCCCTGGCATGGGCAGCCAAAATCCTTGTGCTCGTGGCAGTGCCCTCCCTGTGCACCCTTAGGAGGTGGCAGTGGAATAATTTGGCTTCTTCCACCCCCTCCTCCTCTTCGCTCCCATCACCACGTTGGAACCCAAATGGGTTTTTCCAGTGCCCCAAACCTGAACTGGGCACTGCTGGGATGAACTGGGTCATGAAATTGGTACTTCCATGCCCTGGGGGGGCTGGGCAGAGGCTCCCCCACTCCAAGGGTCACATCCTGGCCCAGTGTCGGGGCACTGGGGCTGGGAGCAGTGCCAAGGTCCAAACTGGGCAGTGCCCACCAGCCCAAACTGGGCAGTGCCCTTTGCTCTCTCCAAGCCTGTCCTGTGCACGGGAAGCCCTCAGGAAGCTCAGGAGGCTTTTCCAGAGGGAAGGAACAGCCGTGAGCTTTTCCAGAGGGAAGGAACAGCCCTGAGCGGGATCTGCTCCCACCACGGCACCGCCACGGCTCTCCCAGCGGGAGGATTTCGGTGCCGCCATCCCACCACGGATCAAAATCTCATGCCAGCCGTGCTGAGAGCCACCAGCAGAGATGTCCTGACCCAGCTCCTGCTCTGGGCATTCCCACCACAGCTGCTGGTCCTTCTCCGGATGCTGGGATGCTCCGGCAGCGCCGGGCAGCCCACCTGGAGCGGCTCCGCGTGGTGCCGACCTCCGAGGTTCCTGATTTACTCACTGATTACTCAATCCATAATTACTGCTCCCGGTTCCCGTGATCAGATGTTCCTTTGCAGGATCAGGCCTGCTCGGTGAGGGGGGGGAATTTTGGGGCAGAGCAGGGGTGACACCGGGTGACACCGGGTGACACCGGGTGACAGCCACCGCCGGGAGAAGCACGAGGCGGCGGCCGCGGCCCCACGGCACCACAGAGAGTGAACTTTTATTTCCAACAACGACAGCACCTGCCCCGTGGGGTGGGGACAGTGGGGAGGGCTGGGAGGGGGCGGCCGCGGGGGTCCCGGGGTTGGGGGGGGGGGTCCCGGGGGGCGGCCGCTCGCGTGCACACGGTGCACGGCGTGAAGAAACATCCCGGTAGAAAAGAACGAAGGTCTGAGGGCCTCGACGGCCGGTCCTGCCCCGGGGTGGGGGTGCAGGCGTGAGCGTGGGGGAGCATTTTTGGGGCTGGGGGGAAAGGCCGCGGGTCCCCTCCACACCCGCGTCCTGGGGGTGGCAGGAGGAGGAACCGCGGGAGGATGAACGGGAGGCGGCTCTCCCGGGCTTGGGGGGAAAACGGCTCCGACCAGGCAGGGACCCCCCCCGGCTGCCCCCGGAGCACGGAGCAAACCCAGCGCGGCCGGGGCGCGGCGGCGGCGGCGGGCACGGGGCTCACACCTCCGTCTGGAAGTCGCCATCGGCCGCGTCCAGGCCGCCGCAGGGGCTGTCCCAGTCTGCCCGGCACAGCTCCAGCCGGTCCCGCTGGGCGCTGGGCAGCGAGCCCAGCGTCATCGCCTTGAAGGTGCTCCACGGCTTGGGCGGCGCGGCCGGAGCCTTCGGCCGCTGCTCCTCGGGGCTGGTCACATCCTGCGGGGCGAGGGGCGGCTGTGGCCAGCAGTGCCTGGCTCTGCCCCGCAGCCACCTCCTGCCCTCCCCAGGATGGGATGGGACAACCCCCATGGGGGGGTTCAGGACTTACGTTGGCCGTGCTCTTGTCCCCGCCGCCCGATGAGACGCTCCACCGCTTTTCTCGCTGCGGAAAAACCCCAGCGCTCAGCCCCGGCGGCGCCCCTGGGTGCCCTCCATCTCCCTGGGGTGCCACAGTCCATGCAGGAGGAGGTAAAGGCTTGCAGGGTGCACACCAGGGCAGGACGGGGCCTCCAGGACCTCACCTTGGAGGAGCCGGTGGACGGAGCCCGGTACCGGTCCAGCGTGTGGAATTTCTGGTTGAGCTCGTGGTAGAGCTCGGAGTGGCGTTTCCGTGTGTGCATCACCTTCTGCGGGGGCAGAGCAGAGCCTGTGGCCATCGGCGCTGCCCGCTGCCCCTCGGCACTGTCCCCTGTCCCTCAGCACTGTCCCCTGCCCCTCGGCCCTGTCCCCTGCCCCTCGGCATTGTCCCTTGGCACTGTCCCCTGTCCCTCAGCACTGTCCCCTGCCCCTCGGCCCTGTCCCCTGCCCCTCGGCATTGTCCCTTGGCACTGTCCCCTGTCCCTCAGCACTGTCCCCTGCCCCTCGGCCCTGTCCCCTGTCCCTCAGCACTGTCCCCTGACCCTCAGCACTGTCCCCTGTCCCCTGTCCCACAACACTGTCCCCTGTCCCTCGGCACTGTCCCTTGTCCCTCAGCACTGTCCCCTGCCCCTCGGCACTGTCCCTCGGCACTGTCCCCTGTCCCTCGGCATTGTCCCCTGTCCCTCGACACTGTCCCTCGGCACTGTCCCCTGTCCCTCGGCACTGTCCCCTGCCCCTCAGCACTGTCCCCTGTCCCCTGTCCCACAACACTGTCCCCTGCCCCTCGGCACTGTGCCCTGTCCCCTGTCCCCATCCCTGCGTCCCACACAAGCAGCAGAGCCCGCTCCATGCCCAGCGCCGGTGTTTTCCGGCAGAGTCATCGCTTGCTGCTGCCCTGCTTCCACCCCCTCCGAGCTCAGGAGCTGCCGGCAGGGCGAAGGAGCGGGGACAAAGCGGATCGGTCCCCACGGTGGCACCGGTGCCGCCTCCGTGGCGGGACTTACCTCGAAGTCCAGGTCAGAGTACCGCAACCTCTTCCTCTGGCGGGGGCACAGGCAGGAGCGGGGGGAGGAGATGGAGAAGAAAAGGGAAAGGTCTTTGCAGGGCCGGGATGAGGAGGAACAGGGTTTGGGGGCTCATGCCAGCCCCAATCCATGCCCGGCTGGGGACACGGAGCTCATCCCGCCGAGGGTGGGATGGCCGGGGGGGGAATTCATGCGAGCCCACACGTGCAGTCGTGTCCCTCCCCACGCTTGTGCCCGCGGGCAGCAGCCCCCCGCTCACCTCCAGCGACCCCACTTTCATGGCAGAGCCGGGCACGGTGCGGGGCATGGTGCGGCTGCGCTCCGACAGCTCCGAGGCCAGGATCTGCCTCACCGTGGGATGATGCTGCTTGAACTGGAGGCCGTAGGGCGCCTTCACCGTGGCGTAGGGCTGGTTGAGGTTCACGTTGACGTGATCCACCGCCACAAAACCGGGATAGGCGTCCCCTTCGGCCGCCGGGCGCCCCGTCCCGCCGGGCACCGCCTCCTCCGCGCCGGCACCGAGCGTCGCCTCGTCCCGGGGGAAAGGCTTGAGGCTGCCGGTGCGGCGGGGCAGCATCATGTAATCGCTCTCTCGGGGGGCCTCCGGGGCCCGGATCCAGCCGTATTCCAGGGGCCGCAGGCTGCTCTCGGTGCACAGGTAAACGGGGCCCGGCGCCTCCAGGCCGAGCTGCTGCGCCGGCGGCTCGCCCAGCTCGGTCAGCCCCGCCACCACGTTGGGCGTCATCTTGGGCACCTGCACCAGGATGCTGGCGGGGGGGATGTTCCCGGGCAGGCTGGAGAAGCCCAGGCCGCCCTCCGAGGTCGTGTTGAGCTTGGGGTCTTCGTCGCCGTCCAGGGAGATGCGGGACAAGGTGCCCGTGATGGTGGCGGGGTTGCAGGTGTTCACCTCTTTGAACAGCACTGCGGGCAGGGAGCGGGGTCAGAGCCGGCCCCGGGGGTCCCGCGGAGGGTGGGGGGACACGGGACAGACCCCCTGGCTGGTGCTGCCCGTCCCTCCCAGGTGCGGCAAGGTGACAACAGAGGGGAGCTCACCTGTCTGACACGCCAGGTCAACGTCCTTTTCAAAATCTGTCTATAAAAATCCAGAAAGAAGGGAGAGAGCGAGAGAGAGAGAGAGAGGAGACAGAGAGAGGGAGAGAGACGGGGAAATGAAGCACCACGGCCGGCACGGGGCAGCGGCGGGGTCTGCGGGCTGGGGGACCCCACTCACCAGGATCTGCACCTGCCCGTTCTTGCAGGAGTCGGGCGAGTTTTCATTCTCCTCGCTCCTGCACCCCCCCATCTGACACTTGACCACGTCCTGGACCTGCGGGGACAGAGCCGGTCACGGCCCCGCGGCCAGGGCTGGCCCCCGGTAGCCCTGCGGGGACAGAGCCGGTCACGGCCCCCGGCCCCCGGCTGACCTCTCGGCGCAGGAAGCCGTGCACGGTGATGATGACGAAGCCCTGGACGGAGTTGAAGACGGCGAAGAGGACCTGGAAGAGGATGGAGCGCCGGTCGGTCATGGCGAGCACGGCCGACATCCAGGTCAGCGCCAGCAGAGGCAGGACCACGCAGGAGCTCCACAGCGATGCCCTGGCGCAGGGAGAGAGGGGCCGGGGTGAGCCCGCGGGGTGGGATTGCCCCGGGGCAGCCCCCCCCGGGCACGGCCCCCCTCCCCAGCAGCAGCCCCCCGAGCCCCCCAAAGCACGGCCGGGGCTGTGTGACCCAGCTGTCCCCTCTTCCTCGGTGTCCCCAAGGAGGGCTGAGGGGACCTGTGGGCTCCAGCAGCACCCCCCAGGTGTGTCCCTGTCCCCTCACAGCCACAGGGTGCTG